CCGGCGCAGCCTCAAGTGTGTGCTGGTGGGCGACGGCGCGGTGGGCAAGACCAGCCTGGTGGTGAGCTACACCACCAACGGCTACCCCACGGAGTATATCCCCACCGCCTTCGACAATTTTTCAGGTAAGGGATCGGGGGGGGGCGGCGGAAGGGGCTTCCCGCGAGGGAGAATTTCACGCGTGGCTAGATCTTAGGGACTCGGTGGAACTGAGCCTTGAGCGCTGCTCCTGGAAGGCGGAGGAGAAACGCCCCCCCTCCTCCTCTTACCCTCGAGCGCTGGTCCAGGATCGTGCCCGGGGGAGCCTCTCGCTTCAGAGCCCTTCCTCCCTCCCCCCCGGCGCCTCTCCGGTGGTTGATTTCGATCTTCCAGTTCTGGAAGGGGCGGCGACCCGTCGGTGGGAAGTCCCGTACGGGGAACGGCCGGGCTTAGATCTCCCTTGGATCCGCAAGAGGGGAAGCTGACGGCGAGGGAAGGAAGGGGCTTGCCACCGAAGGGAAGGTGTGTGTGTGTGTGGGAGGTGAGCAGGTGGAAGGGCGCGTCAAAGATCCCAGTAGATCAAATTGACGTTTTTTGCTCTGAGCGGGAAATATGATACGGAAAGCAGTTCAGTCTTTGGCCCCCTTTTCGGGAGGAAGAAAAGGGATGCCAGGATCAGAGAAACCCGGGCTAATCTTTCCACCTCTCCTACCGTTCTCATGTCCCTTAGTGACTCCCTAACAATAGGACGGAAGGTCTTGCACGTTCCATAGTAGGCGCCTGTGTGTCCCACGTATAGCTGAGCCTAGAGAGCTGGCCACCCTGGGCTTATTCTGAGGACAGGGGGAAAAGCCTCTTGCAGGCATTCAGGGGAACTTTGAAACAATAGAAGTGTGAAGCATAAGCTTTTGCATATTTTTTTGTGAAATAAAGTCCCAATGTGTTCAGGTAAGTGAGTGTAGGACTGCAGCTTTTTCCCTTTTCTTGTCTTCCTTCCTGGGTGATTTCCTAACATCCACCGCTTATTTTCATATTTCCCAACAGTTTCTGGTCATGAGGGCTAGAAACTTGGAGAGAAGAATAACTGAGATCTTCAAAATTCTTATTAGTGCTGGTGGAAACAGGGCACAGATTGTCTTGTCTCCTATGCACTTCTTTGGGGGCAGAGCATGCATAGCTTGTAGGGATTCAGTTTATCCCAGGAACAGAGAAACTGTGCTGAGTGTGCTGTGTGTCCATGGATAAAGCGGTTCTTCGTTTTCCCAGGACATCACACTTTCCTGTCGTCTTGCAAATCCTCTTGGTTGCCTCATAATCCTTATCCTTTTAGATGGGTTTAGAAGGGGGGAAAGTAAGTCTCTTCTCCAAGGCTGCTCCCCCTCCTCCCCTTTAGTTTAGATCTCTGCTGATTCCCACCTCATCCCCTCCATGTGGAACGATGGCCTTTTGCTCTAGTTTTCATTAAATATCCCTGTCACTTCCAGATTATTCAAGTAAAGTTGGTGAGCATGACATGGGAAACTGCTGGATCCTCGTTCTGGTCATTTCTCTTTAGGACAGAAATTTCAGTGTCACTTCCCGTTTTGTAGAAAAGATAGGCCTGTGGTGACAGTATATTTCTGCAATAACTGAAGGGCCTCCATCTGACTGAAAAGCAGAGATCTGGAAATGTTACTTTTTGGACTACCATTCCCATAATTCCCCAGCCATCTGGCTGGAGAATTCTGGAAGTTGTAGTACAAAAAGTAACATTTTCAAACTCTTCTAAAAACACATGATAAAATGGGCAACCCATCCATGGAATTGGGAGCCCCAGTCCAGTCTTGACTGTTTTGTGTTTGTACATGTAGCTGTCCTTCAAGCATTACTGAGTTAAGCTGCAAAGGAGATGCAAGGACTTGTTTGCTATAATGCGAAAGACTGAGACATTAAGCTTTGAGGGACAGGCAAGATCTTTAAGCCTCAGGCCACCTGAGGGTGGTCTATCCCTCCTCTAAAGTAGCTTACACCAGTCTGATGTGCAATCCAATCCTGCAAGTATATTTCTATTGTGATTAATGAGAACTATTCCAAAGCAAGTAGGTGCTAGTTAGGGGACTTGGATATGTGGGGAGGGGGCAAGGTTATGAGAGAACGCTTGGCTTCATTTGTTTGGGGGCATCTTGTTGCTGTGTGTGAACAGCAAGTGGTTTGAATCTGAAGCTAAACATTGATGTTTTTACGTCCCTGGGGGCACAATTTTCCAGCACTCAAGGGATAAACCATACCTTTTGGACAATAGCTGTTGTGGTCTTATCAGAGAACCAAACAAACCCAGAAAAGAAAAATTAAAACAAACCATGAAATTCACTGTTCTCTAATGCAAAGGCCCTAACAATGCCCTGCTTGGCACACTGTGCTTGTAGGTGGTTATGTAGCAAGCTTTTTTTTCTGGAATGATAAATTCCCTAGTCAGAATTCAAAGGAGTGAGAAAAGGAGAAGCACTTCCCTGAGGGGAAACATGTAAATATTTGCATTGTCTTCCCTGTGATTTAAAGCAAGGGGAGGTTTCCAGGGTTGCCTTTGTGCCAGGGCTTTAAAAACAGAAACGTGACAAGAAAACTAATCTTTGAGTAAGTTAAGGTTAGAGTGTGGGGGAAAACCCAGCTTGGTTCTTAGGGTCATCTCTCTTTTTTGTGTGTGTGCCAGGAATGGTTCAGCGATCTTCTGCTTGTCAGTTGGAGTGTAAAAAAATTTTGGCCAGAGAAGTTGAGGGAGAGGCTGCTTTGAGTTCCATAGACTGTTAAATTGGAGATGCTTAAAAGGTAAATGAGAAACAGGTTGAGGAAGGACTTAACTTTTCATTAATGGGTAAAAGTTTCATTCGGTTTTTTTCCCCTTCCTCTTTAATTTCAGCGGTTGTATCTGTAGATGGCCGACCGGTGAGGCTCCAGCTTTGTGACACAGCTGGCCAGGTCAGTAAAACTGTCTATTTTAAGCATGACCTTAATTTAAATGTTGTTGTCTTAAGTTGTATTCAGTGTTTTAATAGAAAATAATTTTGGGCCTTTTTGAAATAGTTCAGTTAAGTCAGAACCAACTTATAGTGACTCTAATATGGATTTCAAAGCAAGTGAGCTATTTAAGCATTGGTTTTCCCAGTCCCTCACCCCCATCCCTTTGAGCTTCCATGACAAAGTAAGGATTTGAACACAGGTCTCCCGAGTCCATTACTCTATTCACTGCATCACACTGGGTATGATTATAAACCAGATGGGTGGGGTATAAATCAATTAATTAATTAATACAGTGCCCAGGCTGTTAAATCCTCGTTTAGCTTTCTGTAAAAAAGAGGATCAGTTTCCCCTTATCTCTGTTTCACTAATTTAGGATTTTCAACAAGTTGTGTGTGCTTTTGCTAGATTTCTCTCATATCTTAATTAGATCCAGAGAGTTTCATTGTTGATCCTGCCTACTGATGAAAATGGCCTAGTCTTCCTTTCCTGAGGCCATTTCCTACTGGTGATAAATACTCCATTTTGCAGCTTCTGCTTAACTGCATGGCACAGGAAAGAGCAGAGTGTAACTATACATTTGTCAGGGTGGTAATGGGAGAACCATCTACAATTTAATTTGATGTATGTCTTCTGTTCCTCCCCCCCACTTCTTCTTCTTTTATCTTGATTTGAGCAGTGAAAAGACCCTCTGCCCTGTGGTCTCTTAGGACTCTGTGATGCCAGTAGTCATCCAGCCATCCTTTTGCACCATAGACGGCTACTGTAGTTGCCACAAAATGTTACTAGCAGCTGTGGTGGCGGCAAGGTTGGGGTTGTCTGCTGAATTTTGGTGGTGAGACCATCTTCAGTAGATTCCAGGGAGAAGGCAGTCTTCAGCCATGCAAACTCATTCCTATTTCAGGCAAAAGAATATTGTCAGTTCTAGCATGGACTGTGAGTTTTGGCTGTTACGAGATCATACGAGCAAGCTCTTAGTTGGGCAAATAATTTTAACATCAGTTCTTGGAGAAAACACACAGCTGTGGCCTGGGTACAGCATGTTTGAATTCCACGTCGGCTTCCTCAGCCAAGTGGCAGCAGTCTTTGGCTTGCGCTTGCTTCCTGAGGGGCTTAAGTTTCTGAAAGAAGGGAGCTAATTAGGCCTGTTTTTGTGATAGTTGCCTCGTGAACCAGCATCTCTCTTTGCCAATGCACCAGAAAAGAAATTTATTCAAGTGGAAGAGGAATCTGTGGCAGTTTCTTAAATGCATATAGAAGAATTGCACGGTTTACCCCTTCAAAAACATCCCAAAACATCATCTCAGATCCTGCAGTACAAATGAACACATAAGCATTAGTTTGTCGACAGGGTGTTGGCACTGGAAGAGGCATGTTAGATTCTGTTTGCTCTTTGTGCTTGTCAGTTTAAGACTGAGAAACTGGCTGAATTCTCACTAAAATGCCACCACCGTTGAGGCAAATCCTATCTGCTAAGGAAGTCAGGGCTGCCATGTTTTTATCCTGGAGTTAATCTTTGCTTCCCTGGCAGCCAATGTTCTTGCTTTTAACTTGGTTGAGCATTATTTAGTTGAAGGCACCAACTGAAAACAAACAAACATGGAAGAATAGAAACAGTGCTTTGTAGAAAGAGTTACCAGAAAAGATAAGTAGCTTAGGGCAGAGGTGGGGCAGAGGCAACACAAAAGGGAGTGAGGAGGAAAGATGCTCTTTATTCAGGTGGTCTGTAAAGCATTCTGAACCTTCCCGAGTTTCTCTTAGAAAAGGCAGGTGATGATTACATGGCATAACAAATATGAATCTAAAAACTATTTTATCATCCTACTGAAACTGTACTGCAGTGCTATCAGTATCTTAGACGGCTAGATGATGGCCAGTATGTCAGAGTTTTTGGCCCTGCCTTGTCCATCAGAGAGCTGCATTTTACCCTTTGCAAATGTGTCACATTATAAGATTTATTTTTAAAATATTTTTGCCCCACCTTTCTCCTTAAAAAGGATCCAAGGGGGCTGACATCATTAAAAGACAGTATTTAAAGATTAAAAATGAGTATAGAAATATTTAAAAGGATCAAACAAACACCATTCTAAGAAATGGTAAACAAAGGCAACACCAAAAACACATTCAAGGCAGTAAGGCACAACAATCAGTTTATAAACCCCACTCTGGCAGCCAGTCACTGAGGGGAAGTTCCCAAATGTTCTTGAACTAAAACACCCGGAAGCCTTCACCACTAGCTGTACTGGCCAGGATTTTTGGAGTTGTAGTCTAAGAATATCTGGGGGCCCTAGGTTGGGAAGCACTGATTTATAGGTTTCATTCCGTATGCTCTCATTAATGCAAACACTAAGTGAGATAAAAACCCACCATCCTTTCTGAAGATTTCCACCGCAGAAAAATGAAAGTTACCTTTTAGCAATCCTATTGCCTTGAGCTGCTCACATTTCTCCTTTGTGCTTGTTGCTTCTCTTCTACCTCCATGTGCTGCAATAGTTTACTATATCATCATTTCTGTGGGACAGATCTTCTAGGGCTGTGCCATACATATAGGAGGTGAATCAGATGATTGACAGATCATGTCTCATGGTACGACTCCCTCTTTGCCTTTGGAAAGCTTGCCTCTTGAAATATGGTTTCCAGCCATTGTTTTCTTCCTGATTAGCTATTTGTTGGTGGGTTTGTAAAGAACAGCAGCACAGGGTAGCATTTGTCTGTGTAGCCCCCTACTGCATTCTGCACTAGTGTAATCCCAGGTGATGTCCCATATGGTGTAGTTCCCCTCTGTAGGTCTGTTGTCTTTATGCTAAATAGCAATTTCGCTCATTTGTTGCGGTCAGGATGCTTTGGACTCTTTAAGTCCCATCACTCCCACACCAGCATTGTCCATGTTGGCTGGGAATAGCGTGAGTCCAGCACAGCAACTTGGACAATGCTTTAAAAATAGCTGCAATCACCAGCTTGTTTAATTTACTTTTCTTTTTTTAAAAATCTGATACACTTTTTAGCATTGATGGCAAATGGGATTTCCTTAAAAACTGGATATTCTTAAGTGCAGAATTTTGAGGAATTAACAATAATTTCTCAGCAGGTGAGGGAGATAGACTTTTCTCTCCCCAGATTTGCACTGTAGAGCTTTGAACATCCTCTTCCAGCTGAACAAACTTGCCTCTGGATATTCACATTACTTTTCCTTTTTTTCATGCAGGATGAGTTTGACAAGCTTCGGCCACTTTGCTACACCAACGCAGACATCTTTCTGCTGTGCTTCAGTGTCATGAGTCCATCTTCCTTCCAGAATGTGAGTGAAAAGTGGGTCCCTGAAATCCGCTGCCACTGCCCCAAAGCACCGATTATCCTTGTCGGGACTCAGTCGGACCTCCGGGAGGACGTCAAAGTCCTCATTGAACTGGACAAATGCAAAGAGAAGCCGGTGGCGGAGGAGACGGCAAGGCTCTGTGCCGAGGAAATAAAAGCCGCCTCTTACATTGAGTGCTCCGCTCTGACTCAGAAAAACCTCAAAGAAGTCTTTGATGCAGCCATTGTTGCCGGCATCCAGTACTCGGATACCCAACAGCAGCCAAAGAAATCAAAAAGCAGGACTCCGGACAAAATGAAAAACCTTTCCAAATCCTGGTGGAAGAAGTACTGCTGTTTTGTATAGTAGTTGTTGCAAAGGCCTAGGGGGGAGAAAAGGCAGTCTGATACTAAGAGCGGTTTTGAAGCTATATTAGCTCAAAAATCTCTATATTCCAGAGTGTGTGGACTACATTCCAACATCATACATGCTGCTAAAGGCATCCGTTTTCAGTGGAGATGGGAGAGGTAGTCTCTTGCTTTTTGTCAGGCAGAGGGTTTTCACCACTAGCAATAGAGTTTCTTTTTTTGTCAAGGGTAGCTGTCCCAGCTCTTTGTGAAACTTAAAGCTGTACAGAGGCATAAAACTATGTGCAAAACCAGAACACTGGAATTTTCTTACAAAAGCGACCTGGAGAATGGTAAAGGGCTATTGAAGGATGGATATCTGCAAAGTGACTTTAGAACATGTGTGCCTCTTATGACATTTTGCTTGGAAAAGTGCTTCCCATCTGCTTTTTCAATCTTGTGGTCTTCAGAAATTGTCCAACGCATTCCAGAAACATTCATAACGTTGCTGCAGTAGCAAGATTCTGCACGTAAATCCTATGTATTTTATTTACAGTGAGATGCCTACTTCATGCACAGTGTAGGGATGTCTTAATACAGTGAGTTGCTTACATAACTGCATCTTCTTTGTAGACCCCCTGACTTAACAAATCTTTTACGTGGTATAATATGCATGTCTGGTTCCTTATAAAAGATATATTTTCAATAGTAATTGGCTGCTTTTCTATTTATAGAGACCCCATGACAGTTCATTTTAAAATCAGTTTAACAAAATGATGGGCATCCTTTATATATATATATACAGTGGTGCCTCGCATAGCGAGGTTAATCCGTTCCGGATTAACCCTCGCTATGTGAAAACATCGCTGAACGGATCAAGAAAACCCACGATGTTTAATGCGTTCCAAATGGGCCGAAAACTGACAGTTCAGCGATGTTTTCCTATGGCCGGCAGCCATTTTCGCGCCCTCCCCTCGCTTACTGAGGGCGCGAAAACGCTGCGCGCTGCCATTTCGGGGCTTCCGGTGGCCATTTTGGAGCTGCCGAACAGCTGATCCGCGGGTCGCAAAGCGAAGGTCGGTAAGCGAAACGCTTACCGACCTTCGCTATGCGAGGTTCGCCCATTGGGGCCATTGCTTTGCGATCGCAGTTGCAATCGAAAAAAACCCCTCGCTATGCGGATTCGTCATTCTACGGTGCGCTCGTTAAGCGAGGCACCACTGTATATATATAAAATACAGTAGTTGAAGTCAGCCTTTCCCCAGCCATCAGTCCCACCAGGCATAGCAAATATGAATGACTGTAGTTGTAGTCCAAAACATCTGCAGGGCATCAGGTTGGGTGAGGCTGATTTAATTCCATGTAATCATGTTTTCTGTGAAAGCCTTCCAGTTAATTGCATTATCTTTCCTCCCATAGCCCAATACTGCACAATTATGCATTCGAAATGGAGCCATTGTGCTACTTGTCAATGTAGGGAAAGGTGGAATGTGAAAACATGATTAGTCTTAAATATGAGGAAAGCCATCCACTGAAGTCAGTGGAGATTTCTTCTAAGTAAAAAGCGTACTGTACTGGAGTGTCTTAATTCCATGGTTATGAATGGGCGATGATTCATAACATGTGAAATCCTTTTCTGCCAGTTTTCATATAGTAGTTAAAATGTTTAAAAAGAGGTGAAGAAGGCAGGCTGCCAGTAGTCATAATGGCCAGGACAATATGGTTGGTGTAGGTTTCATACGGTCTTCCATGCTGTGTTGAACAAAATGGACACTGGTTGACTTGCAGTACTTTTTTTTGCTGGCTTGAATCCCTTCTCAGATCATTCAAAGAATAAAAATTGAATTTTGGCTAAATTGTCTCCCCTTGCAGTAGATAAACTGAGGTGGATCTGAAATGCAGAAAATTATCTACTCACATATTTCTCCATGTTAATTCCTGTTCTATATCAAGTAATGCAAAACTAAATTATGCTTAACGCAGGTAGGCCTAAATGGGACTGAAACCTGAACCTTGATCTTTGCAATCTGGGAATTTTAAGTTTTGTGTTTTTTTTTTAAGTCTGATTTTCCTGTTCTTAATTTTAATGTTGCTTTCCCATTTTATTCCATGGTTCTTTTGCATTGTTGCGCTTGGTACAGCCATAATGAGAAGCCATTGTTTTTTTTGCTGGGTGAACAGGCTATGGAAAGTGTTGGCCTCGTGGATTCCCTCTGTTCTCCTCATCTTTCTGTGTGCTAACCAAATATCACAAATGTCTTTTAGATTTTATACCAAGCATGGGCAGGTTTGGCAGGTCCAGAAGCCAGTTTTCTATTCCTGAGATTCTCTGGCAGCCCCACAAAAACTTGGAAAAGTGAAAGTAGGGGTACACAAATGAAACCAGAAGTTACTCAAAGTTTCTTCAAAACTAGCCACAGTTTCCTGTTGCATCTGAACTTGGGGACTTTCACTTTTAAATCCTGGCTAGAGAGACTAAGCAAGGATCAAACCACAGTGGCTTCTTATCACTTGCTATCTTTTTTTGGAATTATAATTGTCTTAGATTACACAAATTGTAGATGGTTCAAAAACTACGGTTCATTACCTCATCCATGCAGGGAAAGGGGAAGCACCATAAGTTCAAGATTGATCATGGCTCTTGCATGTAGAACAGGAGTTGGGGATGCATTGGTGAGTTCAGGGGTTGACGTGATGCCCTCCAAGTACTATATACAGACTGCTCAAAAAGGCCAAAAACAAAACCCCCACTAAACTGAAACATGTCATGAGGAAATGGGTATTTGGTGATGTTAAATGTTATAGTAAGGATCCTGTGGCCTCTTGGAAACGTGAATCACCACTCCCAGAGGGTTCCAGGAGGTGACATTCATCTTTTATGGCTAGACAAAAGGAGGCTGTCAATGTAAAAATCAGCCTTTGGGGGGCCTCACGTGGTCCCGTGGATGCAATTTTGGGTACTCTGATATAGAAATAGAAAAGAATAAGTTGAGAGTGTGGGCGCCATCTTCAAATGTGTTGCTGTCACTTATTTTTTTGTTCTAGCCCAGATGGAATGTCTTCTCAATTTTTAATGTTTGATAGTAACTTTAAATTGCCCCACCCCTCTCCTGCCCGACTAAAGTGGTAACATAACTTTTTTTATCTTTAGGCATATAGTAAACATATCGGCAAATACTGCTGTTGCTACTTCCAGCTAGATTAGTCCTGCTGAATCAATTGCTGAAAAAGCAGCATTTTATGTGAATCTCATTAAGTCAATGGGCTTACTCTAGCAATGGAGTACTGGCTGCAGTTCACAGATAAATGTAAATAATAAAAAAAGAATAATCCACAATGCACACGGTTCTTTCAGATGGAATTGGAGAGAGACAAGTCTGTTTATCTCCAGTCTTGCCTAGAGCTTATACTTTATGTTAAGGTCTTCCATCTTTATAAATGTGTCTTTAAAGCCTCATATAAATGATAAAAAATGGTGGGGGGAGAGCCCTCAAGAGAGTGACAGGGAAAAGTCAGGGATAAAAAAGGAAAAGCTCAAATTCTAAAATAGTGCTTATTTTGTTGACATTTCTTCCTAAAATCTGCACTTCCTACCATGTGTTAAAAGTGTTATGCTTCTGCGTCAAGTTTAATATCATTAATGACATTTTGATCGAAGTACATAAAATGAATCAAAACCAACTGGTCTTTGACCGTAATAAAGGATTCATTCATTCATTAGGAAAAAATATCTATATTTAGATTAGGCCCTTGGGTGCATAGATGGGAACGCATATCCAGACGTTTTACCATTGGCAACAATCATAGATAATCTGATAGTAAAAGGTTTTTTAAAAGTTCATACTACTACATTCCCCAAACCTGCGACCAAATCAAGTGTATTCATCTAATGATCTCATAAGGAGAACCACTATTGTGTAGGCTGGAGTGCCAGATTGGGACCAGGAAATCTGGGTTCTAGTTCCATGAAGCCATGAGCTCACTATGGTGACTTGGAGTCTCTTAACCTGGCCTATCCTGCAGAAGCCTGGTGAGGATAAAGTAGGTGGAGGAGAGTTGTGTACATTGAACTCATTGAAAGACAGGTATAAACAAGAGAGTAAATAAAAAATAAAGCAGGCAAAATAGAAATTGGGGAAGATGGTTGGACAGTGTCATCAAAGCAACCAACATGAATTTGACACAACTCCAGGAGACAGTGGAAGATAGGAGGGCCTGGCGTGCTCTGGTCCATGGGGTCATGAAGAGTCAGAAACGACTAAACAACAACAAAGACTACATTTCCCAGAATTCCCAGCCAACATGGCCAGTAGCTGTACTGGAGGATTCTGGGAGATACAAAAATGTTTTGTTTTTTAAAAAAAACTAGTGATAAAATTGTTGATAAAATTCACTACACTGTTCCCCACAAGAGAGCTCAGTAAATTAATATTGATATATTTTTTTGAATGTGTGGGACTCGAGTGTTACAAGCAGTATCTGCTGAAACCTTTAAATTGTAGTAGAAACCATTACTGGATTCAAACGAGCCTTGATCAATAAAAATAAGTTGGCTCAGGCAGTGCCACAGCCTGGAAAATCATTTCCTCATTTGCACAGCAATTGTATGTACATTAACTTGGTTACATTTGGTCAACAATAAATGCATAATGGCTATGAGTTAACATCTGTTTTTCTGAATCCTACATCCAGTACTTTTATATTATCTCTACGTGTATGGATACTACTATGAATATAGAGTCCAATATCCCTCCCCATGCCTCTTTGCTGTGCCTCTGTAACACGGGAATGAAATATGGTCTTTTTAAAGAAGATAATCAGAAGTTGAAAACATGCATAATTGTAAAGAATCTTTCCAGATCTTGCTTTTATTTGAAATGCAGGGGCACAAAGTGCAGGACTCAGAACCATGTATTCCATAAATAAGAAGCCAGTTTCATAAGGTCTGGAAACCACTGTTTTTAAACATAGCAACAGTTCTGGGTTTGAAAAAAAGCACTATAACTTTTAATAAGCTTTGTTTCTTGGTACGTAGAAATAACATGATTTACTGTATTTTTTTTTTTGTATAAAACAATACTTTTGTCTAAAATCATTACACAAAAATTGAGGGTCGTCTTATACACGGAAGTAAGCTGAGGAGAGAACAAAACAGCCCATACCTTGCCTCTGCAAACAGGCTGCCTCCAATCAGGAGGCTTAGCTTCCTACAGTCAGGAGACTTAATTTCTTCCAATCACAAGCCTTATGTAACTGATGCCAACTGATGCTGTGCAAACCAATTGAAACACACCTCGTTGGAGGTGGAGCCTGTAGGCTCAGATTCAACAGGGACTCGTAATGTCTGAGCATTCTAAGCCCAGAGGCTGAATACTCAGCTAAATTGTCTTAATTTTTGGTTAGAAAGGGGGGGCATCTTATGCATGGGGGCGTCTTATAGATGGAAAAATACAGTAATAACACTAGATATGCTACAGCAGGGGTCCCAATCTTTTTCACCCTGTGGACTGCCTGGAGAAGGCAGGGCACCCTCGTGCGCATCGTCTGAGCATTCTAAGCCCAGAGGCTGAATACTCAGCTAAATTGTCTTAATTTTTGGTTAGAAAGGGGGGGCATCTTATGCATGGGGGCGTCTTATAGATGGAAAAATACAGTAATAACACTAGATATGCTACAGCAGGGGTCCCAATCTTTTTCACCCTGTGGACTGCC